AGCATAATGTCATGAGGACTAACCTAATAACTGGGAATATTGAGGAAGGATTGAAACAAAACTATTATTCTTTTAAAACCTTTCCTGCTGGGTGTGGTGACTCACTCCTGTAATCCTAGCACTTTGGGAGGAGGCTGAGGCGGGAGGATTGCTTGAGGCCTGGAGTTTGAGATCAGCCTCAGCAACATAGTGAGACCCCCGTCTCTACAAAAAAAAAAATTAGCTGGGCATGGTGGCATGTGTCTATAGTCACAGCTACTCAGGAGGCTGAGGCAGAAAGATTGCTTGAACCCCCCAGGAGTTTGAGATTTCAGTGAGCTGTGATGGTGCTACTTCACTGTAGCCTGGACAACAGAGTGACCCTGTCTCAGGGATGTTAAAAAAAAAAGAACCTCTCCTGAAGAAAGTTGTACATTGTAATCAGTGATTTTGACACATAATACTTGGCTCGTTTTGTTTTAATATTGTTAGCTCATGTTTTGTCAATTTAAAATATTCAAAACATTTTTAGTTTTAGTAAGTATTTAGCCCTTAATTCAACCGTTTTGTTAGGTTATTTTAAATTGTCACTTTTCATTTTGCTGATAAAATTACACATAATTACCGAGTTAGTATTGATTATTACTTTAAATAAAGATGTGTATATTCACAAACATAGTTGGTACATGGAAAAATGCACTCACATTTGTTGTTGTTCTCCTTTTGTGTATTAGGCTACTGTGGAGCCGACATCAAGGCCCTGTGCACTGAAGCTGCCCTGATTGCCCTGCGGAGGCGTTATCCCCAGATCTATGCGAGTAGTCACAAATTGCAGCTGGATGTTTCCTCAATAGTGCTCAGTGCCCAGGATTTTTACCATGCAATGCAGAATATTGTGCCTGCTTCCCAACGTGCTGTGATGTCTTCAGGACATGCACTATCCCCCATCATAAGGCCACTGCTGGAAAGAAGCTTCAACAACATCCTAGCAGTCTTGCAAAAAGTGTTTCCTCATGCTGAAGTTAGTCAGAGTGACAAGAAAGAAGGTACTACTATAAACTTCTTTTTCATATTGTTAAAATGAAACAAATACAGGCATAAATAGTTTCCTCTTAAGATTATTTGTCACTCTTGTATTTGCCACAAATATATAATCTATTTCACTTACTACTGTATATTCTAGGCTTGGCATTTTGTCTAGCATACGGTAGTTGCCTGGTGAATGTTTATAAAATGAATGAATGTTTGTTCACTCTTGGGACATTCTGACCATCTTAATGTAGGGCCATTATTATTTGTAGAATGTTGACTATAATAATAATAGCTTACATTTATTAATATAAAGCCCTTCCATAAATTGTCATTTGTTAATCCTCATAACAGTACCTGTGGGTAGGTACTCTAATTATATAAAAGAGGAGACTGGGAGACTTAGGCTGTTAATTTAGTTTATATTAATATAAAGTTACTCAGTAAATTCTGGGGCTTGCCCTAACCCAGGGAGCCTGACTCCAGAAACCATGCTCTTACCTATGTTGCTGTATTGGTTTTCTGGATTCAACTCATCAAATACATTTTGTTGTTAATGACAGGGCACTCTGTAGTGCGCTGTGCTGATTGGAGTATAAGCTATTGGTAAGGGAGTGAGTAAGAACCTAGTGTAGAGGGTCTTGAATTCTGTCAAGCCTCAAGATTATACTTTGGACCTGAGATAAAAACAGAAAACTACCTTTAAAAACATCACTTACAGGAAAAAATTTAAAATTTAAGGTGACATGCTAATCAAACTAAAGCCTATGAACTTTGAAGGGAAAGTAATGTCTTTTGTTTGTTTTTTTTTTTTCCTGAGACAGGATCTCACTCTGTCAACTGGGCTATAGTGCAGTGGCATTATTATAGTTCACTGCAATCTCAAACTCCTGGGCTCAAGCGATCCTCCTGTCTCAGCCTCCTGAGTAGCTGGGACTATAGGCGTCTGCCACCACGCCCAGCCAGTTTTTCTATTTTTTGTAGAGATGGGGTCTCACTCTTGCTCAGGCTGGTCTCAGACTCCTGGCCTCAAGCGATCCTGCCTTGGTCTCCGAAAGTGCTAGGATTACAGGCATGAGCACCATGCCTGCCAGTGTCTTTTGATTATCTTAATTTCCCTAGCACCTTGTTTGGAATGTAGTCTGCACCAAATAGAAAATTGTTCAGAGAATTATACTAACATTAAAAATATTCGTAGTAAAAATCATGAATATTGTTCATGAATTTTGCTATCATTATAAATATATTTTTCAGAAGCTTTAATTTTTTAGTGACAGACTCATAGGAGAATACTACATGGATTACTTGATTTCTTAAATTTGGCAGATAAGGGAAGGAAACAAATATTTCATTGAGTATCTATGAGCCAGGCACTATGCTATGATTTGTATACTTCTTATTCCTGAGTTTCATAACTAGGAAATAGTATCTTTTCCCAAAATTTCCCAAAAAACTTATCTTTAGAAAATCATAAAAACCTCATCTTCTCTTCTGAGAGATTATGATAGCCCTTTATCTCCATTTGTGAATCACAATTTTATGGCATTGTTATTAATATCTGTGTTTTCTTATAACTTTTTTCCATATGTATAAAGTATGCTTTAATTCCAAGAAGCAGTGGAACCAGATGATAAGAACTAGTGGAGAAGAGCAGCCAAATTTTGATTATTTATAATTGCTTTTTAGTTATTTAGTCATATTATTCTGGCTTGTTTTAGTCTGTAATATTTTTCTTAGACAGCTGTTCTTTCCTTGTATATGAAATTATCACTCAAAAAGTCCTCAGTTATTTTCCAGGTTAACTATTTTATTTCATTTTATTTTTATTTCAGTAGATTTAGGGGGTACAAGTGTTTTTTTGTTGCATGGATGAATTGTATAATGCTAAAATATCAGGGCTTTTAGTGTACTTATCACCAGAATAGTACACATTGTACCTGCCAGCAGATTAATTTTTAAACTATTAGTTGTATTAAATATTTATTTATTTTTTTTTTTTGGGACAGAGTCTCACTGTGTTGCCCGGGGTAGAGTGCCGTGGTGTCATCCTAGCTCACA